CATGACCACAGCAACTCTTACAAAGGAAAACATTTAATTGGGGCTGGCTTACAGTTTCAGACGTTTAGTCCATTATCATCCTGGTGAAAAGCACAGTGGAATGCAGGCAGACATGATCATGGAGAGGTAGCTGAGAGTTCTATATCTGAATCCACAGGCAGCAAGAAGAGAGAGTGACACTGGGCTTGGCTTGAGCATTTGAAACCTCAGAGCCCACCCTCAGTGACACACTTCCTCCAACAAGGCCACACCTACTGCAACAGGGTCACAAGTCCTAACAGGGCCACTCCCTATGGGCCTGGGGGGGGGGCATTTTCATTCAAACCACCACACTCATCTTTCCACCTTATCTAAACAGTTTGGGCCTTGTTTTGAGCAATGCTCCTCTGCTTGGGTTTTCCCTAATTCCTGCACCAGGTATTGACCTCCTCTTTCTCACTTTTTTTTTTTTGAACTCCTCTAATGCACTGATCTGGACCTAGCTTCATCCTGTCATCCAGTTCACAAGCCCTTGACACAGAGAACTTGACAGTTTTCAAATCACACAAGGGCAATCACGTTAATTTTTAGCTGATACCACTGACTAATAGTTCTTTGCTCCAGCAGCCTTACTGGGCTATGATTGACATAGACAAACTGTGCCTATTTAAATAATACAACTTGATGCATTTTTACAATATCTTCACCTATAGAAACCCTCACTATAATCATGATAACAAACATAGCCATCACTCCCTCAAATGTTCTGATGCTGATTGGTATTCTTTCCATCCAGCCCTGGTCCAAGGCATCCACTGAGTTGTTCTCACTATGGACTACTACCTTGCATTTCCTAGAAATTTTCATCAATGAAATCATGCTGCATGCCCTCCTATTTGGTGACACCGGGGAGTAGATCGGGGTTGCCTTAATACAATTATTTTTAAACTTAACCCATGTACATCAATACCAACAGTTCATGCCTCTGTAGTATGGAGTGGTGTTCCTGGTAAGGTATAATCATGTTTTTAGTTGATCCACTCATAGGTTAATAGGCAGTTGGGTGTTCTATTTGTGTGTGTGTGTGTGTGTGTGTGTGTGTGTGTGTGT